AGCATCTTCAGCCCCACAGCTCGAAGGGAAAAGCCTGAGCTGGGGCAAGGAAAAAGCCATGTTGGACCCCATTGCATCGTTGGCCTTTGGTTGGCAAACTGTGTCCGTGTTTGGGAGCCACTCGGGGTATGAGAAAGAAAGGCCTTGTCATCAACATGGATGGCACTTCAAACGCCAGCAAGGTTGACTCCCGAGTGGTTCCCAGCCCTCCGAGACCAAGAGCTCCCTGTCAGCATCGGAGCAACTTAAGGGACACAAGATGGGGTAGGGGAGGAGGGGGATGGAGCACTGGAAACCCTTGGGGCAACTTGCAGCCCACGTTTTCACAAAAAAACTGTAGACCCAAACTGCCAGACTTCTGATTGTAAAGGAATAGCCAGAAACTCAGGTTTTTTACAAAAACCTGGGGTCTTTTTAAATGCTGACAACTAATTTAAAAAATTTATAACACTGTGCAGGTGAAAGGGAGGGAGAGAAGGAAGGAGAGAGAAATGACTTGCTTTGGGGCCAGGGAACCATCAGCTTTGGCCAAAACCTTTGATGAGGATGACAGGTGACACATGATTTTACACAGCCACCTGGCCACCGTACCACAATTTATGATTGAGACTCTTTCACCCACATGAGCTCCTGGATCCCCGTTGGCAGATCTGGGAAGGAAATAGGCTTCCAGACTATTTCCCACTTTCCAGAAGTAGTAGTTAAATAATTAAGCACCTGAGGACAAGTTAAGTGATTTTTCTGATGGCAGATATAGAGGACTCTGGGTCATGTGTTATGCCTTTCCATGGGGAAACTGAGGCTAGGAGGGAAGAGGGACATGCCCAAGATCATGCTCTGCAAATGGATGGGACCCTGGTAGGGGATGTCAGGCTTTGAGAGCTGGTATGGTGGAGGGTGGGAGGGGGCACCTGGCTTTCAGAAACCACCCTAGGGCCCAAGCTCAGGGAGCGGTACAGCCCAGACCCTGCCGAGTTGGTGGCACTCTCCCCGATCCGGGAACTGGCGATCCACTTGGTCTCGTCACGGTGGTGCGTGCATGGGGCAGCCTCCCAACGTCCTTCACGGTCAGGATGAGGTGCCGGGATGACTTGAGCAGCCTGACTGCCTCATCATGAAGGATGCTCAGAAAGCTCCGCCCATTCGCCTCCAGAATCTGGTCCCCAACCTGCCAAGACCCACACAGTAGTCCACAATAGTTTCAGGAGGCTCACTCATGCTGGGATCTCATAGCCTGCTCCCAGTTCTCCTCTGTGAGGTCATCGAGGACTCAGAGAGGTTATGTGGGTGCTGAGGGTCACACAGCAAGGCAGTGGCAGAGCAAGCTGCCAATCCCAGTCCTGGACCTGCTCCTGTCACTCCTGTCATATTTTGGGGGTGAATTGAGTAGTAAGACAAGGCAAGAGGTATGAAGGCAGATGTCTATTATTATCCTTATTTGTCTCTACAATGAGATTTTTTGCCTTAAGCATGCATTCTTATATCACCTTAAAATGTAACAACATTTAAACTTACTAAAGAAAAAAGCAGTAAGTGAGACAAGTAACTTCCCACAGGAAGAACACATATAGCTTGGATTCTTACAGCAAGCAGACAGTTTTATTTTATTATGTAAAACAACAAAACAAAAAATATTTTCAATGAAAAAATAAAAAAGAACCAACTCCTCCCCACCAGGCTTCCACTACAAATAAATGTGGGACAAGCCGGAAGAGGCAGGAGGAAGATACTGCAGTGCGTGGTGTGGGGCGTGGGAAGGGCCTGCAGCCTGGGGACACTGGAGGGTGTCCTCTCCTAGACAGGCAGCAGAAGCCCATGGGTGGAACGGGCCCTCTGTGTCCTGAAGCACAGCCCTATGACATTGGTTCTGCTTGCCCCAGGGGTTTAGCCAGCAATTTTCAAAGCCAGGTTTGGAAAAGGTGAGCCAAGTGGGAGTCAGATGACACGGCCTGAACTCAATTCCTGGACCTCATTTGCCTGTCCTGAGCGCCTCCCAGCAGCTAGGAACTATCCAGACAGAAAGGGGTCGCAAATTCAGATTAGACTTCTCCCCTCCACACCAGCTCTGCCTCTGCCGCCTCCACGCACATACCCAGAACACTGCTAGTGTGTTCTGCACCCACCATGTGCCAGGCCAACCTGCTCCTGCTCTGTGCCACTCCCAAGTCAGTTCCAGAATCGGACCCCCCTCAGGGCTGCAGTGCAGTAATGAAAAGATATCAATTCCCACCTACCCCAACTCCAGACCCATCTCTGTCCTGCCCAGCAGGGCCAAGCCCATTCTACCAGCTTTGCCCTTACCTAGCTAGCACTCCCAACTTGCCCCAGAGCAAGCCCATCCTTGTTCTCCATCCCTAGAGAGATTGTGGTGGGGGCAGGTAGATTTCTTCTCTTGTCACAGAAGTTTATCCACTGGTCCTATTGTTCAGGGACTCCAAGGTGACCTGAGAACTCTTTCTCCATAATATCTCAGCTTTAGTTACTTTTGGAGGGGTTGGCACATGTGACTCCATTTTTGCTCTCGGTCTTGAGGGAGGTCTTATGATGTAGTTCAGGCTGGCCTCATCCCCATGATCCTCCTGGTTTGGCCCCCAAGTGTTGGGATTACAGGGGTTTCTCACCATGCGCAGCTTGACTCCATTTCAATTCTGACAACATCCTCCCTTGTCTCTGAAAAGTTTTCTCTGGATTTGTCTCTGAACACTGTGGTTTAATTGTCCCTTGACATCGCTGGGATGAGATTTCCCAGTTGGTCTGATGTGATCCCATGTTGGGAGAGAAGTGACAGATGGGTGTGAGTCAAAGCCAATGACACTTTTGTTAAGAGCTGGCTTTGATCTCAGGCAGTTAGGGCTGGGGGGCCATAAAGGAGTGATTAAAGTCAACAAGTATGTTACTGGAAAAATAGCGCTGATAAATAACTCCCTTCTTGCATCAGCAGGAAAAGAATTCAAGCAAGACACAACGATTATAATAAAATAGCAATAAAGTTTATTAGGAAGGGAAACATGCTTCCGACAGGCTGAGGGCAGGTCGCCTCAAGGGACGGGTTAGGCTTTAAGGAATGTTTATTAAAGAAGTTCTAGCTTTGGGTTTGTTTGGCCCCTGGGATGCTCTCCTGGGTTTGGGTCTTCGCCTTGTTAAATGAGAGAGAGACTGCCTGTGTAAACTACCAGTTCCTGCTCCAATGGAGTCTCTGGCTGAAATTCAACCTCTGCTCTCTCCAGCTCTTAGGCCTGGTCTTTGTTTTGTTAAGTACACCTGTGTAAACTCCCAGTGCCAGGCCTAGCTGAGGTTTAAGATGTAAATTACTCTTAAGTAAAGAGTGGATTCAGTTTTAGGTGAGCAGCTAACCTTAAAGTGGGCCTAGGACAGGAAAAGAGATAAAGACAGTTGAAATTTAAAGACAGACAACTGTCAGGGAGAAGGGACGAAAAAGCACGCCAAGACCCCACAAGCAGAAAATCGAGTGCCCACCTATCAGCTGAATCCAGGGTCTTGCAAGGTCTACCCCTAAAGTGTGCCAAAAACTAGTTAAAAACTTGTATACACACAGCTCCCATGGATCAGTCTGAAGAGATCCACCCGTGGGTGGTCTTTACTCCAATAAACTTCTTTTCTGCCCACTCGTTGTCCGGGCTTGTTATTCTTCCCCTGACTTGGACAAGGACCCGATGAACTCAAAACCGGTGTCAACGTCGCACAGCTCTCATGTATGCCCTGAGCTTCAGCGTTCTCATCTGTAAATGAGTCCCAGATAGCTGTGAAAGTCAATGGGAGCACCTTCACTAAGCCTGGGACACAGGAAACTCTCCATGGCTCTCCATTCATTTCTCTTCCAAATGCAGTCAGGTTCAGAGATGTCAAGCAGCTTGCTCAAGATCACTCAGGAAGTGAACAAAGGATCCAGCATTGAGCCTACCTTTCCCATGCCCATTCTACCACTCAGCTCAGCACAGGCAGCGGACTGCCGAACCAATGGGGAAAGGATGAGGAGGCTGGTGCTTCTCACTCACCCACTCTTACTTCTGTTTGCTTCCTCTTTACTTTGCTTTGCGCCCCGTGAAGTTGGAGGTGGCACGTGTATGGCCTTGATCGCACTCTTTCCCACAGAAAATCCAACAGTTCTGTTTGTTTGCGGAAAAGCGAACTTCTTACCCACCTGAGCCAGTTCAGAGTGAGAAGCCATGTACAAACAAGATGAGGCGAAGATGCTGCCTCTGTCAGCCTTCCCAGGTCTCCTACAACGGGGAGACTGAGGCCCAGAAAGGACAGGGAGTTAACAGCAAAGCCCGGGCCCTGGGACCAAAGGAGCCCCCACACCTGGCCCCAGGACTCCCCAGACAGGACCTTTGGGGCAGGATGGACCAGTACGGTGTGACGGAGTGTCTAATAAGCACTGGGCTTGCTGCAGGCACTGATGAGAGGACGGGGAAGGACAAACGAATAAAGGTGGCTCTATTTTATTTGTCAGCATGTGTGGCCGTCCTCTTTGTCACCAGTGATGGATGAAACGGGCCCTTCATTTTAAGGCAGAGCGAGGGCTCCTGCATCATGCACAGTCCGCTAAGGCCCAGGCTGTTCTCTGGATGCTCTGAGAAAGGGGAGAACCGATTTCCCAGCCACGGCAGGGAGACAAGGAATCGCACAGGAGTGAGTATCCAGGATGCAGCCCTCCGAGCAGCGGAAAGGCTGAGCCACCTCTGAGAGACCCAGGGAAGATAATTTTATGGTTCTCAGCCTTCTTTCCCACAAACGGGAACGAGACCACCAGCAGTGCGTGGGTTATGCACACTGCACGGGGGCCATGTGGCATGTGGTTCTTGCTGTGAGGCCTTGGATAATCTAGTTTTCTGTGCCTCAGTCACTCCTCTGGAAAATGGGACAAAAACAGTACCTACCTCAAAGGTGAGCTCAGACTGTGTTCCCAGCGCCTCAAATGGCACACAGCCGATGTTCAAGAGTATTTACTGAATGGACACATATACAACAAATAACAAACACCCAATGCACGTTAGCTGCACTAAAAACCTTGCTTCCTCTGGAAACCCTCCCCTCACCAACTGAATCTCACCACCCTTTCTCCTTAGACGTCTCACACAATACCCCCCCTTGCTTCCAGTGCCAGCTAACCCCACATGCTGACTGCACCCCTGATCCCCAAAGCTCATACCGTCACCCTGTCTTACAGATGCAGAGGCTGAGGCCAGGAAGTGAGCAGTAAGACCTGGGACAAGGCTGTCACTCCACCAGCCTGCAAGGACCCAGCTCAAGCCAGACTGGCTAGGCATGGTGAGTCACACCTATAACCCTAGCTACTACAGAGGTGTAAGAAAGTAGGTGGTAGCCTGAGGCTGGCCCTGGGCAGAAGTGTGAGACCCTATCTGAAAAATAACTCAAGCAAGAAGGGTGCGGGGCATGGCTTAAGTGACAGAACACCTGCCTCGCAAGCACAAGGCCCTGAGTTCAAATCCCAACACTGCCCCCACTAAAAAGCCAGCCTGCCCCTCCCCACCTCATACTCTGCTTAGCCCTAGGCTTCATGCCGTGCACACAGTAGGTGCTCTTTTCCTGCCTGGCAATAGGAACTGAAGACAGGCAAGCAAGAAGAACCCGAGGTGGAGTGACAGGAGCTCTGAGTCCCTCCCCAGAGGTTGTCAGGAGTGAGATCTGCCAACAACTCGATCCCTGTGCTGAACCAGGAGCCAGGAATCCATCCTCTGGACAGGGACACAGGAAAGGACGTGGTATGTGTAAGGCGGGGAGGGGGGACTGCCTGTTTGAGGGTCCCCACCCCAAGACTATACCCATATGGACTCGGTAGCTTCAGGTAAGGCACTGCTGATTGCTGAATTACCACAGTGACAATTCCAATTTGATTAAAGAGTTTTATTGCAATTATGAATCTTTAATAATTTTCCATGTCAGGTATAAAACTTTAATGTGCTTTTTTTCCCCTTTCAGTACAAGTGAACAATGCAGTTTTAATGAGACAACATCAGTTTTGCCCAACAGTTCAGAAGTCAGTAAAACTTGCCCACCGTTAAAAAAATAAAAGTGAAAGATCAGTGCCAAGAACGCTCCTGGGGCAGGAACTCTCACCAGGTAGAACACACCGCAAACACTGTAGACGGGGCTGGAAAGCCTGTGATCCCTGACTCCCAGCTC